AGAACATGATGGGCAACCTTTTTACACAGAGAGTGGTTTGTGTGTGGAATGAACTGCCAGTCGAAGTAGCGGATGCAGGTACAGTTACGTTTAAAAGACATTTCGATGTTTATGAATTGGAAAGGTTTGGAGGGGATATGGGCCAAGCGTAGGCAGGTGGGACAAGTTTAGTTTGGGAACATGGTCGCCATGTACTGGTTGAACTGAAGGGTCTGTTTCCATGCTGTATGACTCTATGACTCCAACTGAAGGATAACAAACCAAATTAAGGAACATGAATCTGAATATATAACATTCAGAGGTTAAAAAAAATGAGTATGATGAATTTAAGAACAAGGTATTTGAAAACAGGGGAAACAATGAATTGACCACAATCATTTTTAAAACTTTTGAGACCAGACATAATTGTTTCTGAAATTGGACTGATAAAATTATTTCACACAAGTTGTTAGTTCAAACATACAATGGGTAATTCAATTGATTTTTTAGGCAAATAAATTTAAATACTTTAATTTGAAACAAATAGTCAATGGAAACAGTCTAGGTGCTTTTAATTTGTACTAGTAAAAATGAGATAAATCATTGGGAAGAATTTAATTGACCACTAATGAAATCTGTCAGCGCAAAAATACCACAGGAGCTGTATGTAAAAGAAACCTTTGTGTCTATTGTTGCTAACTTTGGATTTGGAGTACTTTTGAAAGGAGTCAAATCACGTATAATCTAGCAAGTATCTGATTTAATGGGAACTTCACCAATTAGGTTAAGACCTGAGACATGAGGCTTCCTGAAAGTCAAATAGTAGGCATGGTTCAAACAATGGGAAATGAAGACCCGGTAGCAGATACGTGACAGACTGGCCAAAAAGGGATAAATGACATTGTGGAATGACTCAGAGAAATTATGAAAGAACTCATGACCAAGCTGCGGAACCAAGTGGGATCAAGTTGGTTTGGAATGGACAGCAACAGGAACACAAACAAATAGGGTGGTGGTGTTGGAAGCCCATGCTAAAACAAATCAGCCAATCATTTGATTGACAGGGAACAAGATGATACCAAAAAGGTTTGAGAAGGACAATTATGTCCAGATCTAGAGGGAGAAAGGGATAGTATTGTGTACCAATCTCAAACTTCACATTCCCCAATTGCTGCTTCACCCCTTGCCTGCCAGTTACTGGAGACTACACTTGTATGATGCAAATCCGAAAACAAAAACTGGAAATGTTCAAGGTATTCGACACATTCCGCAACCATCACATGGGCCATGAGAAAGTAGAAGCAGCCCCCATCCTGCACCCAAGTGAGCAATAGGGGAAATTAGACAAAGAATAGGTCAGGCAGTCAAATTCTACCACCAGTACTAAAGAAACTAGACATTCTTGAAGACACAAAACAGGAATTTCCAAGAAAAAATTGAATGTTAAAATACACTCCTAGATTAGGATTATACTGCACATAATGCAGTAATGAATGTAGGTCTGGTGGGAAAGGAAAATATAAATGGACCCTAGTAAGAGTGCAGTGAGACTTAGCATAGGGACCATGAAATAGGATTAGTGTTAGAAGATGCAGGGGAAAATGTGACTTTCGTGACAGGTGACAGGGTATAGGCATGTGTAAGTTGTCTTTGGTCTGACTGAGATACAAGTACCAAAATGGTGCTCTCCTACAACAAAGCAGCTGTTTACCCATCTCCTCTGAAGGCAATTGATAAGAGAAGAATTACGATCAACTAGAACTATTGGAGTTAGCAGGGAAGAGGCTACATCTCAGGGGTAGCAAATTAGACTTATAAATGCAAGATTTGCAGCAGAGGATACACAGGATCATAATTAGCAATTATCAAAATCGAAAGAAAATGAGTCAGTTAGGATGAGAATCCTGTCAAGTTATTCTGGACACCATCAAGTTTTTGAAAACCGTTCAAGATACAACTAACTTGATTACTGATGGCATGGCTAACATTTCCCAAGAATAGCACAAGGCAGAGACATATACAACTTATTCAAGCTGGCTATGAACAATGATCTGTACTAACTTGTTGTAACTAGACATGCACTAAGTGCCAGACAGGGTATCGGACAAGCAATTGAGGAAATTGCTGGAAGAGAACACACCCCTAAGCCACCTCAGGAGTTTAACCCTTGCTAGTAGCGTACTGGGCACTCATGATGGAGGTAAAGGGGAATGATACATAGGAGTGGTGCTTCACATAACTAGGCATGGAGACAATCGCACCCATCACTTGAGGAAGGTTCACAATATACGCAAATACTACGAGGGGATCTGGATATTGCTAAAAAAAAAACCCAAACCATGTGATTATCATGAATATTACCAAGAAGGGAATCTACTTGTCACGGTGTCACCATGGAGAGGATTAGTGAGCATGCTCAGAGGAACAGACTAGACAAAAGCTTACCTATTGTAGCTTCAACTCTTCTGAGAATTGTACACTGTCTATTTTACCAGGGAATAACCAGTCTTTTCTGCAGTATGCCCTAATTGGACCAACTAATTATTTAGCCACAGTGGCCAGTTATTATCGCAAAGGCTCAAAAGGTGTCCTCTGTTGGGACACAATATTGCCATTGGCAATATAACTTGGCACATTAGTGTTAATGAACAAACCTTACCCATGCCAGAGAAAGACTCAATACTTAAGGAAGATCTCAGGGTCCATTGCACAATCACACACTAAGAGATGTTACAGTATGTCGCCACTTAACTGCCGCTATTCCCCACCTGACAGCAGATTGGGCTCACTTCATTAAGGAGGCTAAAGACATCATCCACAAGTAGTCCAAACACACCAAGGAAATCAAGGTCAAGCAGACAAGAGCCTGAGAGAGTCCAGTTGGTGAGACCAAGTGTGGAACTGGGGCCTGAATAGCCAAATTCATCCCTAGATTCCCATCATATCTCATATGGTGGTAGAGGTACAACTTGTTGTATGATTTATATTGATCGTACTAACGTGCATTGCTAAACAACCATTCAAGAAATGGAAAAGTAGATGGCAAAGGTTGGAAGAATAGGTATTATTACCAATGTCGATGCCCTAAGACATAGGCGAGCTTGGCTCATAGGCCAAGGGCATAGCGGGAGGTTTGTTGGGGCAGCCCATGGCGGAGGGTGACACAAAATGGCTGTCCATGAATTTTTAGTTGACATAGAAATGGTGGAGAAGAATCTTGGCTGTAGCAATAGCTTGCTAAGTTTAGTATTAAACTGAGATCATAAGTTAGGGCAATTGTAGCTTTGTAGACAGGATAAATTCAAGGTAACAAGATTAAGATAGCACAAAGAGTCTTAGAATTAATACACAAATAATCCTGTTACAAACACACAGTTGCAAGTGTTTGTACAGAGACTGTTTGATAAAGAAAATCCTTGAGAGGATAAGAGACATGTAGTAACAACCAGCCTGAAGGTTGTAATTTAGCAAGAGTCAAAAAGAAAAGTATGATCCCACAATAATCAAGACTCTTTAGGGAATTGTCATTTCATATTAAACGTAACTATAAAAGAATATTGTGCAATTAAAAATGCAACCTACAAACTAACACAAAAGAAAAGAACTTAGCTAAATTCCAATGAGCAGTCATCCTTAGACAGTGAAGACAGGCCCACTTCATTCCCAGGGAAGATAAAGCGACAAATGGTGTAAACAGATATAACCTCCGAGAGAACAACAAAAAACAGATAGCATGGTGGGGGGCCGGTGTGGTATAAAGATGTCATAAAACATGGTCAGTGTGACTTCAAGAAAATAAATAATTACTGCTTCACAGCTCAGCGAAATGCTTAGATAATGATGGAGACAATTTGAGCAGATCCTTACATCCAAAGATCAAGGGAAGAATGATTGAGACAAATTGTAGAATAAGGGTGAGGATGAGTTATATCCTGTTGAATCTAAACAAGGTTATTTTAATGACTTGGTAAAGCCATGAAGGTGATTGAATTTCAGCCTCATTAATGGAATTCGAATAGATGTTGTCTTATTTAGTAAAGATAATTAGGATAAAAAGTATTTAGAAATAGAGACAGTAAGGTTCATCAGAGAATCAAACTTTGATTTCAAGCAACTTACAGCATGTAAATAGCAGAAGTTGTAACTGCAGATAGAGAGACTGTGTTTGTGTGATCTCCGAAGGTCGAGAGCAAGAGAGAATCTACTTTTATATTGGAACTGATATTACAAATTTTGTAACAACTGGTAGAAATTAGCATCTTTTTGTGTCTCCTGTAACAAGGTTATTAAGGAATATAAATTGCTTAACAGAATTTGAAAAAGTCATTAGTGATAATCAAGTATCCAATTTATTGGCGATTATGTGATTCAGCTGGTAAGTGTCTGGAAAGGAGCATAATTATCAGTATTGGAATGTGATTGAATAAAATGCATTGTAAAATTCCAAGGACTGGTGATAAAGGTGTCTGGTAAACATCATGAGATCATGGGAGGATCCAAGGCTATCCATAGAGTTGAGCATCGTTGATTGTATGTTTATAGGATTGGATGTGTAGTTTAGTGGCATGTAGCTAACAATGACATCATTGTTGCATGTAATCATTGTAATGCAGGATGTACAAAAACACATACTTGAATCATAGCGGCAGAGTGTCTGGTGAAAACTGTTTCCAAGGACCTCTCCCACACTGTATTGGTAAAGAGCTCTGAATAAAGATTGACTTGTGCTGCTAGACATAAGACTCAAGACTCCTTTTTGACATCTCTCCCCAATAAAGACATGATATCAAGATGTCAATCTTTAAGTCCATATTGTATATGCCTCTCTTCTCTTTTTGACAAAGGGGCAAAGTATTTTCACTTTACTAAGAGAAGTATGAGATTTAACCCATAGAGGTTTAACCCATGGATAACTGATGATTGAAGAAGCCAGTCAAAAAATAGTGGGAGGAGAACCTCAGTGCAATGTCCATCACTTTTGAGAACCACTTAGACATTGATCTAATCAGGCAACATCTTACCTGTAGTAACCTCAGGAAATGACAATTTATGATGCTTTGTCTCCTTCCCAAGCACATGTTCTTCTGAGCATGTACTGCAAAGCCACTTATTGCAGTCTGAACAGAAATGGAGAGCTGGTTTCTTTTCTTTGCAGTTTGAGCAGTGCTGGTGAGACAAAAAGAAACACTAAATTCAGAAAACTACATTAAAAAATCATGCATAAATGCTCTACAACTAGGTTAGGTTTCACATTATTATTCCCTACATCTATCAGAAGCACTTTGGCTTGCAGAGATTAAATATTTTAAGCATTATCATCAATGTTTGGCAATTGAGAGATAATAGAATGGTTACATTCATGCACATTGAGATTGCTTCCTTTTAAATATTTTGAAAACATAGTTGTGCTCATATGTGTAGTAATGACTCCCGAACTTGCTATCAATGTCCCTTCATACAAAAAACTGCAGCCTCCCCTTTTCAAAAGTTATTTTACACTTTTATACAGTGCATAAAAGCACACAACTTCTGCACTCCATGTAGCTGACCAACACGAATTACAGCACTTTCAGAAGAACAAACAATTCAAACCACAAAAGAAACAAAGGCACAGCTATTATTATGTTGTATAGCGGTGCATACAGATATATGTGTTCATCTGGACATTCTTTTGCTTTTGTGATCAAAGACTGAAAGCTATAGTCATATAGACAAGCTTGCAAGATTTAACTTCACAAGCAGATTGGAATACATCCATTCATGCAATGGTGCTGTGGTTTTCTTCTGACAAAATTTGTAATAGTTCATATTACTGGAAACTAAAACAGAAATTCTAAAAAAAATAGTCTATGCAACATAACTGTTCATTCTAATGCCAAAGATTTCTCATATGTTTTTGGCAACTTTTCCTCATATGGGTAAGAACAAGAACATCAATACTGATGAAGAAAACATTTGTTCCAACACTGTTCCTAGAATTTGTCTGGGTGATAAATACTCATCCAGAGTATTTATCAAGCACTCTCAATCAGGGAAAACAGAGGCCAAGATACGAATATTGAGAAAACCTCCTTCAATATAGGATGAGAAAGGAAATGGAATTCAATTATCTAATTGGGCTGCTTGCGAGATCAGACAACTTGGTGCAATAGATGCCAGAAATCTGAATAATAAATTAAAAATGCTGGAAATGTTCAGCAGGTCATGAAACATGAGTGAAAAGAGAGACAGTTTAGGCTGATAAATGCCGATTGCCAGAATTGGAAATGTTCAGTAATACAATAGATTTTAATCAAGCACAGAGGTAGGGAAAGAGATGTAGAAGGGGAGTAAGAACAAAATAGTAGAAGGCAGGGTGAAGAGATGAATAGCAAAAGCAACATCAGAATGGTCTGTCTGAAAAGAACAAATTGGAACAATCACCATGAACTGAAATCATTGGGATTGCTAATGAGTTTGGAAGTTGGGAAGTGCTTAATCAAGGATGAGTTGCTGTTCCTTGAGCTGTTACTGAATGTCAATGGATCAGTATAGAAGGTCAGGACAAGGCAGGAGTGAAACAGAGAAATAAAATGGCAAAAAACCAGAAGCTCTCAGATCAAATCTAAGCATTCAGCAAAATAATTATCCAACATAGAGGAGACCATTAATGTACTGTATTTGCTGCTTACAATATGGAAAGAAGTATAAATAAATTGCTGATTCAACTGGAAGGAATGTTGGGGTCCTGCGCAGTGGAAGGGAGAAGATAAAAGAGGAGGTGCTTACATATCTTGTGTTTCTAAGGGGGTGCTGGGCAGGGGGTGGCATGTAGTGTTAATTCATTTGGATGGTGCCAAGATAGGAAAATAAAAGGTTTGGAATACTAGACCCATACCCTTGGAGCAGAGAAAACAAATATGTTGTTTTACAGATGGTTTTAACATCATAAAAGCATCCTAAGCAATGAAACGAATCAGAATCTTAGATTCTAATCTAGATTCAGCAATATAGATACAGAAAAGGTGAAGACTAATCCCTCTTGTTATAGAATTAGTGACAAGGGGGTCATCAACTGCGACAGGCAGCTTCATTGACATCCGTCACAATTCAAAAATTTGGCATGCAGTGCCCAGTTACAAAGTTTAAAGGGATATACATAAAAATTATGGAGCAAGCACTGACATCCAAGTCAATGAATACTGGGGAGCAGGAGCACAAAGTGCAGAGGAAGATAGGAGAAGCTGCATGGAGGTAAAGGAGTGCACTTGCTCCTACAGCTGTACAACTGCAGACTTTGATCTCTGTGACTATACTTTCAGGAAAGGAAGAACATTTTTGAGTACAACATACAATTTCAGTAATTGGGTGATGATCTTTGAAGCTTCTATTCCATCAACTCTCAGAAAATCAAGCAGAAAGTTCTCTCTGTTTCAAGGCTAATGCAAACAAACAGTTGCGTTTCTCCTGCATTGGGGAACAATTTTGACAAAGCACTACTGTCCACAAACGGATGGGCATTGGTAGAATTAAGTATATTGATAGCAGAACTTTAGCTATATATGCAATAACTATGCAGCTGCAATAAATTTGACTATGCTCTGTGCAAAATTCTTTCGAATTTCTGAGGAAGTCAATATGAAATTATGCTTTTTAGAGATGTTTCTATTACAGGGAACAGTCAGGAGGAAAGGGTGAAATTTTAAAGGTTGAACTGAATGACATTTTGACAAGGCATTTTGATATTTTGTGTATTTTTTTAATATGTCTTGTATTCTTACTTCTATTTAATTGTGAACCAAAAGAACTGCAGACATTGGAAATCAGAAACAAAACCAAAACCAAATGGTTGGTTAAAAACCAAAATTTATTCCTAGCTACCATCAGTTCTGAGGAAGGGTCACTGGACCTGAAACATTAATCCGGATTTCTCTCCACAGATGCTGCCAGACCCGCTGAACTTTTCCAGCAATTTGTTTTTGTTTCTATTTAAATGTAACCAGTTGTGAGGTGGGCCAATATTTTGAGTTCAAAACAGGGAGGTAGGAACATGGAGCTCCAGACATCACCACACACACATACACCTCATACGTGGTGAATGACTTTCTTCCTGTATTACCAAAATACAGAAATCACATCTATTATTGGCAAGCATATGGAGATCCTGGCTTCTGAGAGCAAAGTAAGACCACATGTTGGTGGGTCTTGCATTGCCAAACTAGGATTGATAATCCAATCACACACCAAATTTTTGGCATTGCCTTAAATATCAAAGGACCATCGTCAGAAAGGAGTATAAAGCCACAGTCCTCATGGTAACAAGGTCTAGAATGCAAGATCTCACCAAGCAATATGAGGACATGCAATCACTTAAGGGGTTAACAGTTACGCAAACTAGAAGTTGTGTCCAAAATTTGTTTTATGCCATTAATACCGAGAACGTGTGCAACTACCTTAGGAAATAGTGAGACATCCTGCTTAAAAGTCTTACAATGCTAAAAAGACATTTTGAGATACAAACTAGAGCCCAACGATTTATCATATCTGCTCTCCTACAAATAGCAGATTCACACAACCACAGCTTATGCACACTTTTACCAGTTGAGTTCACTACAGCCATGATTTACAAAATGTGCAATCCATTTAATGGCAATAGTGAAAAACAAAGAATTCTTAGTACTTTAATTGTACCTCAACTTCAACATTCTTGCTGATTCAGGCCTCAAAATTCAAAAGTCAATTTGAAATTGTCCCTTTTTATGTGGGCAGATTGTGACAACCCCAATCATCACAAAAACAGGAAATCAAGTTGCACAGACAGTAAGAACTGCTGATGCTGGAGTCAGAGATAACACAGCGTGGAGCTGGAGGAGCGCAGCAGGCCAGGCAGCATCAGAGGAGCAGGAAAGTTGACGTTTTGGGTCAGGACCCTTCTTCAGAAATGTTGCAATCAGGTTGCAGATTGTCCTAAATATATGTGGCAAAACACTTTAGTTTACCTTTGAGAGCTGAAATTTGCTATAACAATGCGAAACTATAATAATAGCTCAGTATAAATTTCAAGGTCAGCACTGAAGCAGAGACCATTGTTATTACAGTATCTACACATATGCAATGTCCTACACTTAGGCAGTACTGGTACATCATATCCTAGAAAACTAACCTTAAATGATTTTATTTCTTTTGTTAAAAAGTATCTCTGGATTGGATATAATTCTTATGAAACTTATAGGAAGCTAGCAGGGTTGGAGTTTCTATCTATGGTCTAATTAGTATTAAATGACCTCAACTAACGTCCTTTGCAAAGCACAAAACACTGAAACATTTAAAGTCAGACAGGGTAAAAATAAAAATTACAGTAACTCCTGCAATCTAACAACAAGCTGAAGTGCACATTTATGGAAAGTAGACAAGTGCAGATTCAAGCTTGGCTATGCTGATGCTGGTTTTGATGTCCACAGCACTCAGTTCAAGCTGACACAGAGTTTACAGCTAATTATCTTGTTCCGCCGCAATTATATGCTATCTATGCAAATCCACACATTCTAATCCAATACAATATGTCCAAGCACCCAAGAGTCTTAGCTTGTTTAGGAGAAAAAGGAACAGAGGAATAGTACAGCACAGGAACTGGCCTTTCAGCCCACCAAGACTGTGCAGAACTTGATGCCTTTCCAAACTAAAAATGGTTTGCCTCTATGCAGTCCATATCTCTAATTCTTTGCCCTATTCTTATATCGTTCAAGATGCCTCTCAAACATTGCTATTTTATCTGCCACCACCACCTCCTCTGGCAGTGGATTCCAGACACCTACCACCCTGTGTGTAAAAAACTTGCATCTCATCTATGCTTTAAACTTACCACCTTTTACCTTAAACCTATGTCCCCTAATAATTGACATTTCTGCCATGGAGAAAAGACTCTGTCTATCCATGCCATCCATGCCTCTCATAATTTTGTGAACTTCTATCACATTGCCCCTCACTCTTTGACATTCAAGTGGAAACAAACATAATTTGTTGCTAATACCCTCCAAACCATTTCTGTACCTTCTCCAAAGCCTCCACACCTCATTTCTCGCACCCCCCCACCCCACCTCGTAGTGTGGTAACTATACATAATATTCGATGTGGCCTCACTATAGTTTTATAAAGCTGAAACGTGACTCACCAATTTTTATACTCTATGCCTTGGGCAATGAAGGCAAGCATTCACTGCCCTGACCTCGTCAATCATCTTTGATGCTTTATGTTCGTTACTTAATTCACTAGCAGTCTAGTGACAGAATTTTGCCAGAAGAGAGTCCCCCTATTTCCTCTCCATCCCATGCAAAAATCATTGGCAAGTCCACCCCCATGTGGCCACCTTACTACTCAGTCATTTAATAGGTACCTTATTGCTAATCCACTGGAGGTAAAATATTTGCCCCTATCAAGGAGGAAGTCCTGCCTTTGAAACTATAATAGCCAGCAGCTCTTCCTCCTTTCCACAAAGTGGCTGCCCACACAGAGGCTAGTCAATTAACTTGTCCCCAGCCATTGATAAACTTGCAGCAGGTAGATGAGAGGGAAAGAAAGTGGCCAAAATGGTGAAGTTTGCAATGGCATCCACTTTTGATGCCTATGACCCACTCCCAACCTGTTGTCCTCCCCATGGGGTGGAAATAAACTTTTAACCTAACATTTAGGATGTCCAAATAACTAGTCTTCTTAGCATTTCAATGTCATTCATCTACATTACCTACTTCACTGTGTAGATGAGCATTGCATTAATTATTCAAGAAATTATTCCCCTGTAAACTATCAACTAACAATTACATTAACTCTGGTGACCTTCTGCATGCTTTTATGAAAGTCAATTCCTCTGGTAGAAATGGTGCTATCTAAATCCATCACTTACACTTCTTTGTATTGAACTTCATCTGCTGTGCTGTCAGTGTCATCCTGGAGACTACATCTGTCCTAATCCTTAAGTTAAGATTTGTATTATCTGCAAAATTCATGATACTGCTCCATGCAAGTGGTAGGTAATTCACAAAAATTGGAGAGTAAAGGATGCAAAACTGACACTTGATGAAAACCATTACAAACTACCTCTTAATCTGAATAACATCCATCCATCACTAATGTTTCCTGTCACTGAACCAACTCTTTATCCATACAGCCACTTCACTCTTAATTCAGTAGGCTTGCATATTTTTAACAAGTGTCTTACGTGACATTTGGTTGAATGCCTTCTCAAGGTCCAGATATACAACAATTATTGTGCATATGACTTCTCTCTCCTTATACTGTAATCTTCACATCATCAATTTTTCTTATCACATCTATCATTCTGTCTATAGCCACACTCAAAACAGAAAAGGAAAACTGCAGCGTTAAAATTTGCACCAATGGCATATCTGAAACAATTTACCATCCTTTAAGAAATGCTATTTTTTGCACATTTCCCCTGCATACTGCAACACTAGCTAACTCTATTGATGCAAACATTTAATCTTGTTTAAACCTGTCCCAGCTGAACCACACACCAACAGGTTTACAAAGAAAATGTAGTGTCTTGACCCCAGGCTAGGATCAAATGTCATTATCTCAAGTACAGTTGCTGACTTTGTTGCTGCTTTGGCTTCCTACCTCCAAACCAACCTATGATCTTATTAGATGCAATCACTTAGGTACAAGGTTTCTTGATGAAGCTATAAAAGATTAGAAGAAACATATTGCAAATTAAATTTCAAATTACTTTTTACTAGGAAAAGCACTGAAATATAGTGATGACTGTATAGTGTATAAAAATCATAGCTGACTTTATTTAATATATAGAACTAGTTGCACGTCACAAATTGTAATAGCTAGTGGACAGTAAGGCAGTATAAATTAGAAAGTAGGAAGTAAAGTTCTCCAGGCTATCAATAAACTGATTCAAGACGACAGTTCACTCATTATCTACAGAAACGTAGTTATTTTAATGTTACCTGGATAGGGGTCAAAAGTGAACATTTCCTTGAAGTTGGTGTATAGTGCAATTATACTGCATCAAGTTGCCTAAAAATGTAGCATTCATTAGCTATAATTCTACGATCCAAAGGCTAAAATGATCAGACCAGTTAAGTGGGCAAGAAGGTATCAGATGAAGTATAATGTGGAGAACACAATGTGGAGAGTTTTGAGGGTCTTTGTACATGAATCATACAGTTAACACATAGCACAAAGTTGACAAGTACGTACAAGAAGGAATTCAGAAGACAACTCTACTTGTTTTTATTGAAAAATGGTTGTATGTAACAATAAGGAGCTCCTGCTGCAATTTTATAGGGCTTATATAGTGCAATCGTACCTGGAATACTGTCCACAGTTTTTAGTCTCCTTTCCTAAGCAAGATATGTATGCCTTAGGTCAGTTGGCTGGCTGCCTGGTTTGTGATGCCAACACCATGAGTTTAAATCCCGTGCCAGTTGAGGTAGTCGTGGAAGTCCTACCTGTCCGATCTCACCCCTCGCCCGAGGGCCAGTCACCCTCAGGTTAAACCACCACCAGCCATCTCTTGCTCTCGACTGGTTCTCTGGGACTAAGGCAATTTTAATGCATGCTTTGAAAGAGGTGCAAGAAGAATGAAGTAGATTGATTTTGGAGATTAGAGGGCTGAGATTTTGTTGAAACATAAACTTTTGTTAGGGCTTCACAGGGTAATTGCTGAGGAGATGATAACATAAACACTTAGGGTAGATGTGTTAAGACTGAGTTTAGGAGAAATTTCTTCACTTTGAGGGTGATAAATCTTCAGCATTATCTACCTAACAGAGCTGTGCATGCTTAGTTGATATGTATATTCAAGACTAAGATCTATAGATTTTTGGGTACTAAGTACATCACACAACACTGGGATAGACTAGTCATCTTTGGTGGAACAGGCGCAAGGGCTCCTCTGATGCTGCCTGGCCTGCTATGCTGTTCCAGCTCCATACGGTGTTATCTCTGCTTCAAACTTTATTACTTTTATATCCTAGGTTCTCACAGTGGAAATCTAATTTTGGTCTGTGCTACAACCCTGAACCATCACAATGTGTGCAATGATGAACAAGTGCAGAATACAGGAATGACACTCAGTGAAAAAGGCAACGCTGACATCGTCACTAACACAGAAACTGGCACTCCACAGAAATTCAAAGCTGTTGCCTTAATTCCAGGTAAATAAATGAAATTAAACCCATATTTGTAGTACAGACAATTTAAAATACAACTAACAATTTCTTGATAACAGAGGTTCTCCTTCTCAGAAGTCTACTTTCTTGGTCACAATCAACACAACAAGAAAGTTAAAGATTGGGTGTCTGTTCATTACACACTGAGCAAAATACTATTGGATTATCCTGTAACCTTAGCATAATTATGACAACACTCCCAGTACAACCATCATGCTGAGTATACACATGAACTAATATTATGTTATCAGTTCTGAATAATAATGTTACCAAACCAGATTATTACTCACTTTTTGAGGTAAAGGGTTAGACCAGTTCTGCAATTACTTTTATGACAGTACTTATCATTGCAACAATCAGCTGTTCCTTTTCACTTCAATCAGAATATAAATTTAATTTACAGGAAGAAATTGTTAATCCTAATTCAGCAGTTACAATAATCTCAATTTCAACCTTTCGCACTATTTAAATTAAGATGTCACATATTTTGAACTCGAAAATACATGCACATTTAAATACCAGAACACTCTTACACCTGGAAATTCATTATTTTATTTATTTATGGCATATACCCCTTGTTTGCAAATTCTGTATTTATTGTACATCCATAATTGTCTTTGACAAGATGGGTTCAGGAAGCTGCTTCTTGAGCTGCTACAGTCCATGTTCTCTAGGCACATTCACAGTACTGTTAGCTAGGGAGCTCCCAGATTTTGACATAGTAACTGTGAAGGAACAATAATGCAGTTTTTAACGCAAGGATAGCGGGCAATTTGGAGTTGATGTTCTCATGCTCCTGTTGCCCTTGTTCGACTAGGTGGTAGGGATCACGGGTTTGGAAAGGGGAAAAAAAAAAGGAACCTTAGTGACTTTCTGTGTACCATATACAAGATGTATTACAATGTTGCCAATGTGCATCAGTGATGGAAGAAATGCATATTTCTGGTGGTGGGTGGGATGCCAGTTGGGCAGGCTCCTTTGTCCTAGATGGTTTCAAGCTCAGTGTTAATGGAGTCTCAAATGGCATACAAAACAACCCTGTCTTGACGATGGAAGTCTGAGTATCACAAGGAATTTTTTACTTCAGTCTCTTTTGAATTAAATTGTCATTTCAAATAGGAGGACAAATGGTATTTTTCAAAAAGCAGTTACTTTGTTATATTTGAAGTTGCAAAGTAAATGGGAAATTTATTTTATGAAGTACATATAAGAACTGGAATTATGATTGCATCTTTTTCTTCAAGAAATGGAAGCATGTAAATACAGTCAAAGATATTTGATTTAGTGAACTGAATAATCATGAAGAATGGACACATTGTCAGAAGTATAATGAAATTTTTTATGCAAAGTACACAATAATTTAAATTCAGATTACTCAACATTCATATTATGCTTACCTTTTCCATCTTATGCATTACTTGGGGATAGTCTCTGATGAAGACGTTCTCCACTACATCACTTGTGAAACACGTTTGCCTGCAAGCAGGGCAACAGATAATGCCTGAGGTAGCCAGAGCAGCAAAGACATGAAATCAACAACAGGAAATAAGATTAACCACACACATACAGCAATAGCAAATGCAGTTTGATTTCTTAACAAAAAAAAAGACAACCTCCAAAAGGAAGTTGGCTTTCAATGCAATGCCATAAATTTATATCGAGGAAAATAACACGAGTACATACAATCAAAATGAATATTACATTAAGTTGCACATAAAACTTATCGAAACAAGATCCATATAATGACCACAGTAATGCTTTAACCTTTCTATACAGTTCCCTGCAGGAATATTAATTGAAAGCAAAATTTACTGATAGCAAACCATCTTAACAGTTCCCAAGAGAAAGAGCATAAAGGGATATGAAAACAAACTGCAGCTGAAATCAAAGCAGATAATTTTGGAAATATTCAACAAGCAAGGCAACATTGGTGGATACAGTAAAACAGTTAATTATTAATCAGAACCTGAAAAGTTAGAAATACAATAGATTTTAAACAAATTAAATGAGGGGTGTAGAGTGAGGTTTTGGGGGGAGGGGGGAAGTGAAAAGGTTTGAGAAAAGAATACAGACAGAAGGCCTGTGATGGGGTGGAAGGCAGAAAAGATTAAGATTGTGATTTAGAGTTTGTAATGGGGACCATATCCATCAACTGCAAAACTGTGGCAGCTCTCCGCAGCTTCTCTCCAGAAGGCTAGATGAGATTGCCAGATAGCCAATCAAGCACATATCTGACAGCAGAGGGTCATTTCCCATGCATCAGGCCCCAGTAGGATGATCATCCTTCCCCGAGCGTTGTCAAAACAGTTCATCGGAATGTGTTGCACTACCCGAGTGGTGACCACTGCTGATGCAACAAGTGGGCCTACCTTGAAGATCACAGTTGGATCTTCATATCAAACATGAGCATAGGCAGAATGGGTGTTGCAAGGAAGTGTTTGCCAGTAAGAAATGTGTAAAATATCAAGGGAGGAGTGTGGCTTTCAACAGGCTCTCCATTTCCTGAGTACCTGTGAAAAAGACAGCCCCACTAATTAGGCTCATTTGCTAACTGGTTTTAAACAGGATAGGCACTGTCCACTGAACGCCAGTGGCAGCAAGCCAAAAGGTATCTACTTAAAGATTTCAACTGGCATCTGACTAGCATGGTCACCATCTGCATTTGAGCTTGGCTGGAGGCAGGTGGAAAAGAGGATGAGCAGGGCAGGGTCCTCACCACTCAACTTTCCACCTAATTAACCCCAGCCCCCCACCACCTGCCACCTGCTAACCCACTACAGGATGTGGAGGGGGTGGGGGAGGAATTCAATCCCTCCAAAGGACAAAACTGCTGGTTGTGCAGGCTAAAGACTGTTTAATTGGGGAAGTAAAGAAATATGTGGCATGTCCAGCAAAGGTGTGAATTGCATAAACACAAATAAATTACTGCCCAAACAAAAAGGACAGTAAAATCAAATGCTGCAACAAAACACAGGGTAAAATTTGAGAGGTGAGGTTATGGTCTGAATTTGAACTCAGTGGCGTGACCAGAAATATGTAAAGAATCAAAAGATGAGGTTCTACTGAGCTGCTGATGAGTTTGGATTGAGCTTTGTGAAAAGGACAGGTCAAGGATGGAGTGGTGAGCATGGGACCAGTGTGGACAATTAAAATTACAGGCAACTGGAATCTTAGGATCAGGTCTACAGAGGTGTTCCAATTACCAGGTACCCATTTTACATTTGTTTATTCCTGGTATAGAAATGTACTTGTTGGTCGCTAGAGGTGGCGAAATATTCTGGTGGCTGTTGATCTGTTAATTATAGTGTTTGGAGAAGCCTAAAGTAGAATCAGCAGAATAGGGGAGAGCAGTTTCAGTAAGTGAAATGATCATGTTTGAGGGGTCTGTCAAACAGAATAGTAGGCAGGCACCTTCAGTTGAGGAAAAAGGATGATACATCTGAAGTGCTGTTATGGAAGATTGCATGATTAGAAGAGCTGTATTACACAAAGAGAAACTGGGAGAATCCTTATAGGAACCAGAGTGTTAAAAAAGTGCAGTTGATATAGCTGAAGGAGTCTATGGGTTTATGGTGGATACCCAAATTTTATCCTTAGAAAAGGAGACAAAGTTAGTGAGGCAAGGTAGTGCCCTGGTGCCAACTATCTTCAGCTACTTCATCAATGACCTTCCCTCCGCCATAAGGTCAAAACTGGGGATGTTTGCTGATGATTGCACAACTTTAACACCATTCACAATTCCTCAGATAGTGATGCATATTATCATCCAATATGATCTGAAAGAAAGCCTGAGCCTAATGGAATAATGGAACAGGTGATGGAGATATTAATTATGAGTTGATTGGGTTTGAATTAGTTATATAAATATGGGGAGCTAGTAATCAGTGGGGTGACAGTTTTATGGAGTGTGGCTAGCTGAAATAAAGTGCTCACATACAAGTGTAGACTTGAATTCTGTTTAGAGTACATCATTGGTCAGAGGATAGTTGAGTAAAAATGTAAAATTTTGGGTTATGGTTACCTGTCCATTTTCTGAAATTGAGTCTTCTGACAAGTGGAGGAATGAAGTTATTATGTAGACCTGGATTTCTTGGTTACCAAACAGGAAACAAAGTAGGGCTATAGCACTTTAGTCACCATATAGAAGCAAGGTAAGCCCCATTTCTGAAGAAGGGTCCTGACCCGAAACGTCAACTTTCCTGCTCCTCTAATGCTGCCTGGCCTGCTGTGTTCCTCCAGCTCCACACTGTGTTATCTCAAGAAACAAAGCACTTTGTTTTTTTTTCAGATTTGGAGCTTAATGGTTTGAATACAGATGAAGGTTTGGCAGATTAACTTTCATGGGTAAATTTATAATAAAAGCAACTGCTTGAGGCATGGTCAGATTTTGACAAACTTAGAAAGACTGAGGCTAATAGATGGAGTACTAATGGAATCCAGTAGATTTGATGGAAGACTGCAATAATTTAATTTGGAAATTCTCCAATCTGTGCTGGTATTTAATTATTTGGACTGCGGAAGAAGATAGGCATACAGATCAATGAGAGGTCATTTTATTGGTCAAGAAGTTTCAGCCCAGTGATGAATGTATCGGTGACAGAATCTTTCAATTATGTAACCTTGGGCAGTAGGTTCATGTCTACAGTGTGTTGAATAGACTGGCTGAAAGGCTTCCTGGTTTCTGAGAAAAAAATTCAGGAATTTGAACATTCTACCAGTTTCAGATTTGGATATGAAAACCACTCTATTCAAAGATGAAAGTGGGTTATGTCTTGTAAAGTACGCAGAATCATTCATCTTATTAGCACAGATGTGTTGTTCAGTAAAATACCCTGATTACTGAGTAGATCATCAATGAAGAAAGTACAGATGAAACTGGATTTGGGAAATAACAGAGAAATCGTATTTGGAAAATCTATTGAGACACCACTGTGCTTCGTTCATGGAACATAACCTCTCCATTAAAAAGTGTTATCGACATTGAGGAGTAGATATTTTAGAAGAAAAAATGTCAATTTTGTTAACATTACATACACAGTTTGCTCATCCATCTTCTAAAAGAAAAAAACTTTTTGTAACAATTGCAGAAGTAAGGGATGAGAAATACAATAAGTCAGAGAGATAAATAACAAATGTGAGATTTTTAAGAAATATTGAAGTGCACTGCCATGGCTAATAGTAGGTCTGCCCTTAGCAAGCAATTTCAGTGAGGTAGTGAACATGGGTTTAAAGGTGTGGGATAAACATAAAAGCATTTTCATTTTACATTTTGGCAACCAGTTTTAAGAAACGCTGCGAACAAGACGATACTTGCAGATAACGGTAATGGAACAGTGGCAAGAGTTGGACCACCAGCAAAATTTCTCACTGAAAATTGGGAGGGGTGGGCATGTTTACTAATGATGAATTCAGTGTGTGAATTCAATGTGTGAATATGAATACAGCAACAGAAAATCATTAAAGCAATGGGCATGTGGAAGGGACTACCCAGTGATAGACTGACTGGAGCAGTCCATGTACAAATGCAACAAAATCCGAATAATACCCAAGCTTGGGATGAAAAAAATGCAAGTAATATACACACCAGGCAAATGACCATGCCAAATAAAAGACAATCTATCCCTTGTCCTTTGACATTCAAGTGTGTTACCATAACTGAATCCCCCTCTATCAATATTCTGGCCAGATACTGAACTGGCCACAATAATTACAAGAGCGGGTCAGAAGTTAGGTATCCCTACAGCAAGTAACTCACCTCCACACTCCCCAAACTTGTCCACCATCTAAAGGTACAGGTCAGGAGCATGATGGAAAACTCCCTAACTGCCTGGATGAGTCCAGTACCAACAACATTCAACAAGCTTGACACCATCCAGAACAAAACATGAAACTTTACCATTGTTCCAGCTATCAGCTTAAGTATTCACTCCACCCACTATCAGTATACTATGGCTGCAGTTGGTGCAATATATGAAATGTACAACAGCAACTTGGTAGTGCTTCTTCAATAGCACCTCCCAAACCCACAAACTTCCATCATGTATGGAGGTTAAGAGCAACAAACACATGGGAACATCACCTCCAAATTCCCTTCCAAGTTGCACAGGCGGCTTGAGCATGTGTTCAATGTTCCAAATGATCTAATGTTTAATCATTGTTGTTTGATCAAAATCATGGAACACCCCATTTAACAGCGATAAAGTAGCATCTTCACCACATAGGCTGTAATGGTGCAAGAAGTATACTTGGAAACTAGGAATGAACAATAAATGCTGGTCTTGCCAAAAAGATAGCCATGTCCAAAAAAGTAATGCTTAAAAGATGCATTTAAGGCAGTTTCTTCTAGTCATATTTTACTGAATCAAAAGAGCTCATAAAGCAAATTTATCATTTAGCTGGAAGCATTTTTTAAATGTACCTATAATGTCAGTACTTGCAACAAATAGAACAATTTTCCTGTTTCCTATCCTACCAGAACCCTTCCCTCTTAATACACAGGTA